CCGCGTAATGTGCGGTAATGTGCGCTATGACACCAGGACTCTTGCGGCTATCGGTCATCTGTGGGTGGGTTATCAGCCGTCCGCTACCCGTAGTTAAGTGCCGCCCTGCGTGCTCTCTGTCGGATGCCCTTAAAACTAGGGGAGGGGGGGTTGCTGACTGTTCCGCACCCTACCCGTTCGCCTGACTCAATTTTTCCACTTCCTTTCGCTCTCCGTTTTTCGCTTACATTGAAAAAAGTGTCGTTGTGCGTGCATGCTTCTGGATGACATTACGATTGACGTTCTTTCTACATCTATCTCTTGTCACGCGTGGAGAAGTACCATCCGGGACTTATCGTGGCCGGATAGATCACTCATGATCGCAATTGTAAAAAAGTAAAAGTAGTTGGCCCACGTTCGGTTCAGGTTAACTTTTTTGCCCCAGTCAAGTTTATCCTCGCCGTTGCGGTATTGGCTGCCGATTCCTCTTTTTGAACGGCGCGGGTCCATGCTAAGTAATTATTCATTCACTTGAAGAACATATGTTACCACGCTTACTCTCTTGCTCATACTTCACTATAGAATAATTCCCCTGACACCTTGGCGTGGTCGGGCTCTGGCTTGTATAAAGTTAGGGACGTCAAATGATAGTATCTCCATTTTATTCCGTTCGCAGGTTTGGCTAGGTCACACAATTCTTCTTTAACCTGCCAGCTCCTCCCTCTTCGACGCACGGAGACTGAAAAGCATACGTTGGAAGTCCTGACCTCCCTCCTCTCCGCCAACAACGCCTTTGGCATCTACTCAGCCTCTCCATTTTTACGACCCATCACCCTCCTGCGGCCTGTACAGTTCGCCTTCCCATCCAAAGTCGTCTCGCAATATCCCGATCCTGAGAACATGGTCCGTAGGCTGCGAGATCTGGCAGATCAGAAGGTAACTAGCCTCCCCCTACTGGCTATCCTCTCGGGTACCAAGCTGAATGCCGCCTCTCTGGGTTTCTGCACGGACTACCTGACCTACAGTTTCACGCTCAAGCTCGACATCAACATAATGTGTCTTCTGTTGGACCAGTCACGACAAGCAAATAGGTGCGTCTTCGCTTCGTGCTTGTTCCTGTGCTGTTTGAATCGACATTGAACACCCTACTTTCCCGGTTATATAGTAATTAAAGAAATTAATTGCTTAGTAATTCGTGGGGTCTGTTAACTTTACTTTCGTTTTTTTTACTTTTAGACTTGCATTGAAAGCCTAGCCATTTAAATTGGGCATCTATATGTTTCACGTAAATTGCCAGGTCTCATAATCTTTGATGAAGTTTAAATATCATTAAATTTGCTTTTACTGGCGTAACTTAGCTGTCGAATTCTGTTTCCGGACAGCCGCAGTCTCGTGTACCTGAAGAAATTATTGTTTTCGGCATTCCTTCAAGGGATGGTTTTCTTGAAAAAATTTTTTTCTTTTAGTTACGCCTCAGTTAACTAGGACCACCCTCTATTCATGTAACAACTAGTATCCTTAGCATTGACCTTCAGAATAGCATGCATTTCCTCCGATAATTAAACTTCCAGTCTTCTACTTACGTACTGTCTCTGTACTTAAGCTGCACTGACAACTACCGTCTCATTCTTCGGCTGGCCTGGGCCACGACCGGATTTTACATGCCAGGTGACAAGTCCAATCCATCTCGCGTTCTGGCCTCGGAAGTGCTACCACGCTGTCTCTCCGTCCGCGTTGATCGTCGCAATGTCACCCTTCCCGATCCTACCTTTCATGAGGGCCAGGCGCAGAATTTCGGTCGTCGTCTCCGTTTCGCAATCGACATCACAGACAAGGTCGGTTTTCTTTTCCTTTCTGTGCACTGCTTGCCCTGACTTGGTCAGTTTAGACGTTCAGGAGAACAATAAGAGTGTTCAATAACCTGCAGCATTTCGCAGATGCTAGACGTGAGGAAGATAATTATTTATTCCTAGGGAATTTTCAGATATTATTCCCGGATACCATCATTGTAAGATATCACCTGGAAATTTCGCATGTGCGTCTTGTATCAACACTCTAAAATTATGTACTCCTCTTTATAACCCTCGTAGATTTGCGTTCAATCAAACATACCGGCCCGCTGTCAGGATATTGAGATTGACTTAACATGGTTGCACGCGCCTCTGCAGGATCACGCGCTACCTCTGCTTGAAATGGTGGGCTCCGGATCCTGCACTCCCATCCTAAATTACTTGCTCAACCTTCCCCTTATTCAAGTCACTCTGGACCGTGTCCAGCCCATACCGGAGTTTGTCCGCATGTTTTCGTCGGCAGTTGCTGGGACGCCAGTCGCAGACCCCCCTCTTGGTTGCGAGCCTCCTCAATTACCGTCTGAGACAGTGGAAGCTCTTATCGGAGTTTACGACTTTTGCAGGTCTGCTGATCGCGTGATCGCAGCGTCGGAGACTTTGGTGAGCTAGTTGCCAGCCGAATTTCATTTTCATACATACAGAAAGACATTAGCGACAAAAACAAGAGGGATCGGAATGGTCATTTCTAGTTTATTAGCTGTCATCGGCCAACCATACCCAACCTCGGGGTGGCGACTCCCGGGGCTCGAACCCGCGACCTTGTTAGTTGGCAACTGTGCCACGGGCTCGTTTTATTGCCCATTTCGATCGGAAATATACACAAGGATAGACAGGCGTTCACCGATCGGTTGTGGAACTCACTCGTTCCGTTGTACCTTAGGGCTTGCTCTAGAGTCTAGCTAGCAGCCATTCATCGGCTAGCATATTGTAGATACATTACCGACAAAAACTAGGGAGACTGGAATATTTAATAACTGCTGAAAAAGTATCTATAAATGCCCCAGTTGCGTGTCCGTGGCCAATTGGGTGCGCAAGTCGTTTTTACTTTGTTGTGATCTTTCGATTTACCACGTGAGTTTGTCATCGAAACTAACAGCCTAAACAGAACAACTAACAGATATAGGATACTAGAGCCACTCAGCGACCATTACGACAGACTTTGAAGGCCTCTACATTGACTTCATTTCAATAGACCGTTTACTTATGTTAAGTTTGACTCGGGAAAATTCCATAGTGCAAATGCTGTGATCGTGTTACACGTTATTTCGCAATTCTTTCACGTTTTTTACCGTATATACTTCATTATTAAGTTTATGCATTTTGCATACTAATACAATCTGGAAACCTTTTTGCGACTTAAGTACTTTTTGTGCATAGTTGCACCGTTTCATTGGCCTTTTTGGGAGCTTGTGTTATGTACTCCAAATGTGCTGACTGACTGAATATCTGCATAGGTTTGGTGTGATTTTGGGGATCGAGTAGGGTTCACCGGAGCGCAGGCTTACCGCAGGTTTCTTTATTTTATTTTCAAATTAGGAAATCTTTCGGTCTCAGCCTATAATTGCCACAGTTTTGAACATGCCTAAACCTAAGAGATCGTTTACAGCATGTTCCAATTTTGTCGTAGTTAATAAACTTTTTGCATTCTTTCCGTAGGCAATGGTGAAGTCCAAACTGACTTCGGAGGATGATTTGCAGTCCGATGGATGGATTCCTGTTTCCTTACTCTGTCCCCTCGCTCTTACGCGTATCGAAGTGAGTCCACGCATTTACAGCAATGTTATTTCACCGTCAATGTGAGCGATCGTAGCTCGACAGTGACTTAGTAAGAACAGTTTAGCACGAAGGAAATAGTTCTCTGTTAAAGGTAATCGGCCTTGAGTTGGTACTCTTTTATTTTTACTCCTGCTTGTTCGCAATATAATTTTAAACTGACATTCTCAGCACAACCATCTTAATTTGTGTAGGGAGTGTATTGTTGTTACAGACAGGATTTGTTTGTATGGTGTCGTGCGCAAGGTTTCTTCTCGACCACAACCTGTTACTTCATTAATAATAAAACTTCATTATTGATTGTGAGCTACAATTTAACCGCAGAAGTGCCGTTCTTATTCTAATGTGCTCGCTCTCGACTTCTTTTTGTTTATGAACAATACGTATCTATTTCACACAGCAAACACTTAACAAACTTTAGGTTTAATGGTTTTACTCAAGAAGACCGCAGGTCTGCACTTATTTTTCCTGATATTTTACATTCTATTCGCAATATGTAGCACTTGATCGTGTGTCTCTTACAGGGGCAAAAAAGCTGACATTTGTGTTCATTTACTCACGTAATCGAATGCCGTGGGCAAGCGAAATAGTATCCTATCAGCCTAGTTGTGAGGGATCACCGCTGTTCGAAGGATACAGGGATGATTCATTCATGATGAAGTAGACTTGCGCTGCTCTTACCGCCGCGCTTTCGAATACATACCGTTTTCAAGTCACCAAGCAGTATCAAGATGACTAGGTACTGCGTGAATTCAGGCACTGTCCTATGTGCTTACCACAAGCTTTCTACCTTAAACTCTTCACATGACCGGCCTCATTAAGAGGGTTTGGGACCGCACCTAAGTGAGTGGTATAATGGTGGTATTAAAAAGAAACCCCTCTGTTATAAGTTTGCCATGACAATGTCAAAACGCATTTTCGGTCCTTTGAGATGAGGAAGGCAACTGCTTTACTAGGAGCGAATCAGGTCTGCTCTCGCCTACTTAGCTAGCGATCCACTCAAATCATCTCGTCTGATGAGCGATTGTTTATAGATCAGACTGTAGCAGCTGTTTGTTTTGGATATACACTTCGCTAAAGGACACAGTCACCTACATGTGCGTCGGTTTCCCTTAAGTAGGTCTAAGGATTGTATCTGTTCAGCCGTTTATCAGTCCTTCAATTTTTTATCAGGTTATGCGGTTTTGGGCCTGTTTTCGTTTTGGCACTTGAAGCTCCCAAGTCTGGCCTAGGTGATGACGCAAGATTCAGTGCGATATGGAAGATAACATGTCGGCTTATGCGCACCAACAGTATAACGTATCGATATTTTACGCAGCATGCATTTTATTACACGATCTGCTGATGTGTACACTTACAGCCGAATAGGAATTCTGAGTAGTATGTTGGCTACAATGTGAAAGAGTCGTATACATATCGTGACCGAAAGCGCTCACAGAGAACATTTATGAGGATGTGGAACATCGTATCTCTCGGTTTCGTCAACAACGTGATTACGTGCATAACATTTTGATTTGGAGAAGGCTTAGACCAGTTAAGTAATTGTGTGCAAAGTATGTTTATTTTTTCTTGCCAGAATGCGGTATGAGGGAAGAGTGGTCCTATCTATGAACTCCGTTTCCTCTGCAGATCCCTGTGCGCTCAGTGAAGTGTGACCATCTGCAGTGCTTTGACCTGTCCTCCTATCTAACAATTAACAAGAAACGTCCTCGGTGGTCCTGTCCAGTCTGCAGTTCGCCCGCCCCATTCCGCGATCTGCGACGCGATGAGTAAGGGATTCTGCAACCTCCACTTGTGCTTTCAATTGCGTACCTCGGGAGTTAAATTGCTTTAACTATGATTTAATTTGCTTTACAAAGGAAGAAGACTGGAGTGACCTGTTTTACTTGCTTTGTTGGCACTATTCAAACATAACACTTACGGTGGGTCATGTGAAAGTGGACATTTGTGCCCCTGTCAACTATTCATTGAGCTTATGATTCAGACGCCCGACTAATTGAACGATGGCACAACCCCTGTCGGCTGCCGTCCGGACCTTTTAGTCCTATTTCCAATATATCATGTCTCGTATTCCGCCTTGTAGTCGGAATACCAATGATAATTGAAACATGTTCGCCCGTTGCTATTTTAATCAGTAGGAGTACCTCGTGGGGCTGCCTGGGGGGCGCGCGAAGTGCGCCCCTCGGTCTTACGGGCTCCTGATTTTAGGGGAGAGGACGGGCGGGGTATGCCAGGGAACGAATTAGATGGCAATAATCCTGTAAAATAAAAACGTTACGAGGGTAAGTTGGGGTGCGTTCTCAAACCTTGGGCGGGGACACTGCAGCATGTTTTAATTTCATCGCTAAATCCCCCCCACCGGACCAACGGCAAGCGCGTGTATGTCGAGGGAGTTTGCCCTGACCTCGGGCGAGGTCATTGAGGTATATTTTCTAGTAGTAACACTAACTCCAACTAGAATAAAGGCGAACGAGTGAAGGAGGTTGAAGATTGTGGAATTCATCCTACATAAAATTTGTAAGTAGACGATTATTCTCGTGGTTAATTGGAAAATACACTTTTTCTTAGTATACTGACTTGAGTGGTTATTGTATGCGGTTAGCTTCCGAGGGCCACTCTGCGGTTCAATGCCATCATCAAATCCCTTCTGGATCGACGGCTGGCGTGCAGAAAACTGGAATATTGTGGTTAATTTAACCTACTTAAAATTTGTGAGTAGGTGGTCATAAAAAATAAGGACCCTTGTGCGACCCTAGTAGGTACTCTTACCTTTTAACCATATAAAGCAACGTGTACTAACTCACGAGTACCGTCTTTTTGCCTTCTGTTGAAGAGGTTATTCTGTTATGGGAGTTAGTGGCTCCGTTTACGGTGGCGTGCAAAGCAGTTGCATGCCGAGAATCCAGTTCAGAATTTTCAAACTTGCCGTTTGACGTTTAGGAAAGGTAATCTGGTTTCAGCATTTCGACTAGCTGCACTGCACGAATCTGAATAAGCTAGTCTACTTAAGGCATCCTCCAATGTGGTAAAAGTAACGTTAACATCAATTGTTTGGGAATAGCAACTGCCTTCGAGCCTCTGCGTACTTATAATCCCCGTGTATTTCCTTCCCTTAAGCTTCTTCGTCCAATTGATTGCTGATCAGAGTCTTAAGGATGCCGAAATGCTCCAGGTAGATGTCAATGGCCAGTGGCGAGATGTCTCGAAATCCATCGAAAGTGATTCCTCTGCTATCATATCCGTCAAGGATTCGATGTTAGTAATTTCTTCTGACAACCCGGGAATTGCTGCCTTTCCGTCACTACTGAATGGGACCTCTACGATGACGCCTTGCATGTTGGAGTCAAATTACTCACCCAGACCTGTAACACCAATGGAAAGGGATACTTCTCACTTCACTGCTTGTATCCGTCCCCTTGACGACAGTGACGTGAACGTTCGGGAGCGTAGCGCAACGCAACCGGAGCAAACCACTGTTGCCCATCGGTAACTTTTTAATGATAAATTAGTAGTTTGTTTCTACTGGAAAGTCCTTGTGCTAAAGGTGGGTTATGTAGAGTACCTAAGACGCCGAAAGTCCCGGATTGTGCAATACGGGAGTCGCAGTAATACTCCTTTTACGGGTGGGTCTTCACCAGGAGCAGTGGAAGAAGTATGTGGAGAGAACCGTAAGGAAATCCAAAAACTACGTCAATTTTATCATGTTAAGCTTGGTTATAGCAACAAAATTGAGCGCGGTATTTGAAAAATAAACAGAAAACAACTAAAAAATAAAGATATTTGAACAAACTGCCAGGAAAGAAGTTGCGACAGGCTATTAACCAATGGGAGGAACAACTAATTGGAAAGGACATTAATATATGTGAAGAAAACCAACTGTGAAAATTGACTCCGAGTTGAGGCGGTGAACATGTTAGCCAAAGAAGGTGTGAAAACGCAAACAATTGAACAAGGAAACTGTCGAATAATGCGATTAATATTGCAGTTATGGGTTTCCAAATTATTTAACTGGATAAAGGGTCGTTAAAATGTAAACGAAATTTTTGCTATATGTATACGAAAAGAAGTAACGGTGAAAAGGTGTTTGTAAATAAAGCTCGTAGCAAGGTTTATAATTTTTCATTTAACATTGCAGGCCAAGTTCTGCAGGTAGTAGAAAAAGGGCAGGGTACTCAATCGACCGCCCTATTTGCAAACTGGGTAAACTCGCAGGCACAGTGCGCATAAAAATTAAGTTTGCAAAAGGCGGGAGGTGAGGATCTATAGGTGATTGTAGCCCAACTGCCTAGGCGGACGAGAGCAGAGGTATCGGTTAGCAGTCGTCACGTTTAAAGCAAAGCCCGTGCTGCGGATTGCGCTGCCCGATCTACCGACAGAGACCAGTTTACGTGTGCTGTTGAGCATCCGGCCCACCTGTCATCCCCTTCCCCCAACCCCGCTCTGGTACCCTTTGTAGTCCTACTGTATGTGCGAGAAAGCATATCGATTAGCTAGCGACACCTGTTCACGACAAAGCTCGCGCTTGAGAACCCAGGGATTATATAAATTTTGTTACCGAACTTTTCTGCGAGGCCCAGGTGCCTTATGGATTGAAGGCAGGACAGAAAGACAAGAGTAGGCAGGGCATGACGGAGTTACGACCTGGGGGAATCGCTTGAACGGGGTTGGGTTGATGGTTCGGCTATCTTGTTGGATTATGGTAATAGGCAGTAGATAATGCTGTTTCCTTATCGATTTTAGGCGAATGACTAAAAGAAAGAGGAGACGAAGACAAGTTCACGGAGATTGTTTGACGAAATATGAAGAACTGTGCACCTTAATTAATTGTAATGACCTCATAGGAAAATGTCAGTCCCTCGGACTCCTCGCAAAGGATATGCAATGCCGCTGTGGGCGGAGGATGCGTCTAGAGGTGCAACGACAAAAGACTGATGGAGTTGCATTCCGATGCGGCAAGTGCGGAAGAAGAAGAGCTCTGAGAACCGGCTCGATTTTTGAGAAGAGCCATTTAAGTATCAGAACAGTACTAGCGATAATGCTTGCATTCGTAAGAGGATTCAGAGTAAATATTTGTGAGAAAAACATTGGTGTGGGACACCTAACAGCAGTTACATGGTATAAGTTGTGCCGCAATGTATGTTCTGTGGCGTTATTGAATGAAAAATGTAAACTGGGTGGACCGGGAGTCGAGGTCCAAGTGGACGAAACATTGATCAGTCGGAGGATCGGGAAGGAAAAAAGACAATTTCGGCTTCTCGGAATGTATGATACAAAAACCCAGAAAGCGGTTTTTGAGCACGTGAACAGTCGAAGTTGGTCTGCCGTAAGACCCATCGTAACAAAATGGATCAACAAGGGCAGTGTGGTGATTACCGACGAATGGGAAGCGTACAAAAGGCTACCACTAGAAGGTTATGCTCACTGCACTGTCAATCTCTCCAAACATTTAAAGGATCCAACAACAGGAAAGCCCACCAATGCTATAGAAGTCTACTGGAGTAGGCTGAAGCGGAAACTCCATAGAGGAGGAGCAGTCCGTGGACGAGCCATCTGGGAGCACATTTCTGAGGTTCAGTACAGGCTGTGGTATGGAATGTACTCGATGGGCCTCATGGACGCATGGCATCTATTTCTGTCGCATGTAGCACAGGCATATCCAGTGAAAAATTCAATGTAAAGCAGGTGTGATGCAACAACTACCTAAAATCATGTACAGTAAAATTGTTTATTTTTATTTATATATTCCTGTTTTTTATTTGTATAAAGTCTCACAGCTAACTGTGGAGAGTGCTTTATTTATGTTTGAATGCCGATAAACGGTAAAATGTCCCTGAATACTTCCGTGAAGGGCGTGTACAATGGAATATAATGATCGGAGAAGCCAAGCTGGCTAACGAACACCTGTCACAAATTATAATCGTCGAAGGCGGTAAGAAGTTACATGTCCCTGTTGACTTCCGTGCTGGGTACAGTGGAAGATGTGGATGGACTATGTCCTTCGTTTGTGTTGAGTAAAAACCGACGCCTATAAAAAGAATTAACTTGTCCCCAAATATTGCCGTGCATTATAGCGGATGGGCTTTGTCCGACGTTTGTGGCGAGTAACACAACTGACGCCAATGAAAAGTAGTACAATAAAGCATGCTTATTACTGCGAAGTAAGTAGGCAGTTGTGCAAAGTATATAAGGGTTGTGGTGTTACCTATGGGCTATTTGTACGAAAGGCACAACCGCAAATAGAGTTTGTGGGAGAAACCTTAGAGATACTGTCAAGAAAAAAGACTGTTGCCGTATGTGGTGAAATGTTGACGTGGATGGCTAGGGAACCAGAAAATGCTAAGCCATCCCACAGACAGAGATATCTTCCACTGTGGGTGATGCAGGAAAAAGAGAGCGCCGCGGAAAGGACCAATTTTCGAAAACGGTAAGGACAATAATGAAAATGTGGCTGGCGTTTGTAACAGGTGCGAGAGGGAGGGATTGCGAGGAGGTCATTGGTGTGTGTCACAAATCGGTGGTCTACTGTTATGGAATGTGTCGGCATGTGTGCTCCACTACAATAATGAATGAAAGAAGTATAGATTGGCGGGCGAGGATTTGAAGCCCACGTAAGTGAAACCCTGATAAGCCGACGGAAGGATACTGTTGGAAGAGAGAAGCGGCAGTATTGGCTTCTAGGAATGTACTACACACCATGACATAGAGTTATGTTGGAGTAAGCCAAAGGCAGAGGTTGGCCAGTCCTTCGACTGATCATTATCAAGTGGGTGGCGAAGGGCAGCCTTATAGCTGCGGATGAGCACGAAGCCTACAAACGGCTTCCAGCTGAAGGATATGAACGTTACACCGTCAACCACTCGAGGAACTTTAAAGATACTACGACCGGGAAACCCACGAACGCGATGAAAGTCTATTGGAACAGGCTGCAATGCAAACTCTACGAAGGTGGACCTGTGGCTGGCCCGCATCGATGAGGTGCAATACTGACTGTAGTTTGGCCAAGCAAGCATGGTAATTATTATTGTGGCACATAGCCCGAGCATATTCCAACAGTAGGTTCCGGACCCGGGAACCTTAAGAACACCTGTTCAAAGGCCACTATAACGACACTTGATAAATTTGTTTGTTTGTACATAAAGTCACCTGCAGTTAACTGTCTTTCTGTGTAATTTACCTGGAGTCTAACTGAGGCTTTAAAAAAATGAAAGCTGTCTGCCTTCCATCCAGAAAGCGTTGTACGGTGCATGCCGACATGATGATCTTACAGACCTAGCAAATCAAGGCATTGCGTTAGAAAAAGAAATATGTTACTGAAGGTGTCTTTTTCGTAGGACGAACCGCTCATAGGGTAGCGAACGGGAGGTTTCATTGAGGAAGACGAAGACAACCGTTATATGATTCGTGTTAGAAACGGTAAACCGTTAGCATGATATCCAATAGAGGTTAAATTGAAGGAGCCGCAGCAATCGGTCATATAGTCTAGCAGTGAGAAGAAATGTTTCCGTGTGGGAGTGCACTTGTTTAGACGACGTAAACTATGAAATGGTCAGGCCAGAAATGACAAACCAATCGCATGCTAATCAGTGGGGGTTCAATTGGTGGAGTCGAAACAACCCGTCATATAGTTCGGTTGAGAAGATATTAACGGTTACTAAAGGCTTCCGTGTAGGGGTGGAAGGCTGAAATTAGATGGAACGAGGTAAACTGTTACATGGTTGCCTTACAGATGGCAAACGAAGTCGAGGGAAGCCAATTGGAAAAAAACTTCGCAATAAACCAACTAAATGTTTCAGTAGTGACCACGGAATTTGGTAGTTGGCACTCCACTGATTTGGTGTTTTTGATGGGCCGAGTTTGCGTGATAGCTGCTCTGCTGGTGCATCTGCCTCGGTGCTTTCAAATCGCCAGCCACCTGCAGTACTGACCCTATCGTTAACTCCTTCCACGTCAACAGAGAGCCTCAATCTTGCCTCGCGCGCCTTCGCTCCGGCGTCACCTTACCAATGGCTGTTGAACCACGGATCCCGAAACTCTCTTGAAACGCTTCTCCACCACTATTTTGCCCTCCTCTCGCCGCTGCTATTATGAGCTTCTTGGGATTTCTTCTATCCCACAGGCATCCGTAAATCCGCAAAAGCTTAAGAGCGCCATCGCAGTGGCTCAAGTTAATGGAGAAAGTCTTGCCCCTGCGATCATAAGGCCGGGTTCTGTGTGCGAAGAGAAGAAGTGAGACGTCAGGTAGAAGGAATAGTTGATTCTCTACAGAAGTAGTGGAGAATAGGTGGGAGGAAGATGACTGCCGAACGAGCGTAGGTCTACACCCGAGCAGGGCGGTGTCCGATGTGTGTCAGCGCAGCAGTCGTCACTTCGGTCAGAGCGGTATTTATATGAATTAGGCTTGAATGTGGTTAGCCAGAGAGGGGAAAGCAAGCACTATTGGAGGCGCACTTGATAGTAGCAGCGCAAAGCAAGCGTTCGCGTGGATTGGAG